AATGTTTCTTTGTTAATACAAAAATGTGCTTTTCTCTGCCTACACAATCCACCAAAGTTACTTAAGACTCTTTCCTATCCTGTCTTGATAGATTTTTACTACTGCCATTAAATTCTATTCAGTTACAACCAATCCTTATGGCTCTCAATCTTGTCAGAAGTCTGCTAATAGTATATTTAAGTTTATGGCCAACAGAATTCCCAAAGCCTCTAACAGTTGACCCAAGATGGTTTCAGAAGACTTGGACACCTAGAAGATACAGCATGGATTGTATGTGATAATATAGTCACTAACAAATGCAGTGAACTAAACTGGATGCCCTGAGTCAAATGACTTGGCTAAACCAAGGTAAGTCATTTCTCATGTCATGTGTATCCATTCCATAGAGAAAAAGCCCTGCATCTTCTGAGCTTGGAAGCCAAACTGACTTTGCCCAAGAGAATATGGAGACTATGGGAACTGTTGGCTAGTGGACTCTGCCATTTTTTAAAAAGAATATATAACTGGTAGATTATTGTTTACTCTTTCTCAGACTTCTGACTACATTGACAGCTAAGCTTTCACAGATGTTATATGTTACTTCATTATCTAAACTCAGTTACCATCAATTAAATGCTCCATATTTCCTTTTCTTACTATCCCACTGTCCTAAATTATTGGAGTTCCTATAAACTTACCTAACTCTAATAAAACATTCCACTATACAATCCAATAAAGGCTCATCTTGAAGACTGCACGTGTTGTTAACTCATGCTGTTATCTGTTTTGTAAACTTATAAGCTACAGGAAACCCACTCAGATCTACCTCTCACAGACCAAATAGATCCCATCCAGATAAGTACATCTGCCTAAAATTCCCACTTACTACCTATTCCAATGGGTGGGATCACTCTGGGTCTCAAATGAACATCTTAGAAAAAAATTTCTTTCTCCCAAATGTACTTAATCTTATTCCCTACATCTTGTCAAGTCCAGGCACATCCAGAACAGCTCCAGAGAAGCAACCTCCAGATGCTCCATCTCCTGTCACACACACACAGCTGCTTCTACTGGACCTGTTCCTTCTGACCTATCCTCAGATGACTCCATAGACCCTAGACAGTAGGAAACAGCCAACTCTCCTAAGACCTGACAAACATCCCCCATATCCATTCTTCTAGGTTCCCCCTAGAGACACGTTGCCCCCAATGCCAGCAGGAAGTAACAAGATATCACAACAACCCTATTCCTGCTTCACCATCACCTCTTTCTAATTTTTCTCTTTTAATTAAACCAAAGTGGAGAAATGTTGGTATTCTGTCTAAACTCAACCTCCACAGTTATCTGGCAACAGTCAGGTATGCTCCTCCCCACAGTTATCTGGTAACAGCCAGGTAGGCCTGGCCCACTATAAAAGGGGCTACTTGCCCCCTCCTCTCTCTCTTGATCTCTTGCCTCTAGCTTCTCTCTGTCCCCTTCCCCCTCCCCTTCCCTTCCTCCTCTCTCCACGTGGTCATGGCTGGCCAATACCCCTCTACTTCTCTGCTCGCTCGCTCGCTCTCTTTCTTTCTCTCTCTCTCTCTCTCTCTGCCTCTACTAACCTCCTGGCTCTCCTCCCCATGTCCTAAATAGACTCTATTCTATGCTATACCAGTGTGTGACTGGTCCCTCAGGGGGAAGAGATGGCATGGGCCCACTGAGACATCCCCTTCCCCCATACCTCTCCACATACCCACAGAACATACTCTCTTTATCTCTTTATCTTTTTATAAACACATCAGTCAATCATCTATAAACAATCATAGCCACTAAGGCACTCAGATCTAGTAGGTAGGCTTTATTTAGCTATTATGTTTTCAAAGTTAAGCCAAAATAAGTAACTAGAAACAGACAAGTTTGTCTAATTAGATACACTTTAGATAGCTAGATGGTCCTCAAATACTTCAGAAATCTGCAGAATATGACATTTAGGAATGTTTTAATAAAAAAGTTTGTTTGGTTTGTTTTGACAGACAGACATATCAGTCAAGTCAGTACCTCCAGTCTCCTCCCATGGAGATAATGGATACAGCAAATCACCACCTGGAGTGTGCTTCAAATGTGATAAATCTGGCCACTGGGCTATAAACTGTCCCTTATGTTGATTGCTGACAGTAATCTGATCCAAACTGTGGACAACCAAGACACTGGGAAGTCAATTGCCCTACTTTGCCTAGACAAGATGGGACAGTCCATCCAAGTTCCTGCTGGAAAAAAAAAGTCTCTCACATCTTCTGGGCCTGGTGGCTAAAGATGAATGCCACACCAACAGAGGAACTTTAGGTGACTGTTCAGTTAGAATCTGTCCAGGCAGCCTTTATCCATTAAGTATCTGTCAATTCTACAGATTTGGAAGCTGCTTGCTCTATACTTCCTATTTACTCAGGTAAGATTTATCCTTCTCAGGCCTCTGATCAGGTTGAAGACTAGGTAGTTATAGTTTTACAGTTTTCCTTGTTACCAGATTTAAAAAAGAAAAACTCTAACTCCTCCGTTAGGAACCCCATGATCAGTTCAATGGTTAGCTGTGAAGACTGAAAGAGCTGAAGAGGCTTGCGGCCCCTGGGGAGAGCGACAATACTAAACAACCAGAGCTCCCAGGGTCTAAACCACCAGTCTGGGAGCACACATGGAGGGACCCATGGCTCCAACTGTACATCTATTGGAGGATGACCTTGTCGAGCATCAGCGGGAGAGGAGGTCCTTGGTCCTGTGAAAGCTGGATCCCCCAGTGTGGGAGACTTTGAGGACAGGGAGGTGGGGAGGTGGATGGGGGCACATCCTCATTGAAGCAGGAGGAGGGGTGGTGGGATAGGGAGTTTCAGGGGGAGAGCAATGGAGAAAGGGGATAACATCTGAAATGTAAATAAATAAAATGTCCAATTTAAAAAAGAAAAACTCACAAAAGAGTAAAATTTGTAAAGGTTAAAAGATATAAAAACTTAGATTATAAAGGATCTGAGGAAGCATTTTAGGGTCTAAAAAGGTGTTTTAATGTTAGTAAATGAAAGTTGTAAAGGTTAGAGGTTGGAATGCATAAATGGCAATAAGAAAATTATTTAAGATATATAAAAGAATGAAATACATTAAATAGATACTGAAATATTTTCTCCAAATTTGCCAATATGAATGGATTAAACACTGTAAAAATAACTGTTACCCTGATAGTTCACATAGTTGTTCTTATTGTTTATAATTTACTGTTATTACAGACAAAGCCTTTTTTTTAACTAGAGGGGGGAGATGTTGAGATGGCCCACACATATTATATCTACCAGCTATGAGAAAGTGTGTCCCTGTGCTTTCCATTGTTAATTAAACCAGCACCAGTCTAGAAAAATATGTAAATGTTTGTCACATCCTCAACTGCTTCAAAAAGAAAGGCAAACTACCGCCAAAGCCAAGTACTCTCAAGTAAGCTCTGTGGCTTTAGAGGGCTGGTGGCTTGGAGGTAGGGCAGGAGAATTGGCTAAATGTCTGGGCAGGATGCATGCAGATGCAGAGAATATTATAGATCTCTCCATGTCTATATAAAACCTCAAGTGGGGTCCCATGAAAGCTCTGCAATAATAAATACATAGAGTTATAACTTTCAAATCTAATAATTATGAAAATGTGAGCCAGGGAAAGTGATACATATCTGTAATCTTGCACCCAGGGGGCTGAGGCAGGAGGATCATGAGTTAGAGACCAACTGGGGCTACATATTGAATTGAAGATTAATCTGGGCTACACATAGCAGCTGTCTGTCTCAAACAAACACACAAACAATGAACCAAATATATTATACAAATATATTAATTATATATATTAGTCCCCTACTAAGTGTAAGAAGGTATAAAATGATGTCATATTAATGAATATTTAAAATTGTTTAAAGAAAAAAGACAATTACAAATGGTCAGAGAAATTATTCCACATGTGTGTATCCATAGATACATATATGTGTAGAGTCTAGAACAGGAAAATCCAGACGGAAGAAAGTTGTGCCTGCTCAGCAGTGAGGGGTGAGGGGAGAGGGAGGAAGGTAGAGGACTAGAGGACAGACAGCTCTTCCTTGTGTGTGGAAAGGAAAATATTGTGAAATGACATGGTGAGGTTTGCACACACTTGTGAATATACAAAAAGCCCCTGAAGAAAACACTTAAAATATCTGAACTACATGATATTTATGGCATGTAAGTTATCCAATAAAAGTATTTAATGGGTCAAATGGGGACCTCAGTGGGTAAGGGCATTTGTCACCAAGCCTAATTACCTCAGTTTGGGCCTTGGATCCATGTGATGGAAAAAGAACCAATTTCCTCAAGATATCTTCTTGACCACAAGTGGGCTGCGGGACATGCTTACACACACGTACACATGCACGTGCGCGCGTATACATACACACACACACACACAAATAAATAAATAAATAAATAAATAAATAAAATGAGTATTTTAAAAGAAGACAGAAATATCATGGAACACATGACTCTGGACTGGATCTCTGTAATAAATGACAATATCGCAACAACTTGAAAAGCTTGAGTGGCACTGGGGACAAGATGTCAGTGTGCCATCAGTGTTCATTTCTTGGTCTTGATTGTTGGGTTTTTGCTGTTCAGGAAAATGACCTTGTGGAAAGTGGACACTACTATTTGCCCTAGTGAGCACCAGGAAGTATTTGTTGGTGATGGGAAGTCACTGCAACTGACTCTGAAGTGCTAGAGAAGCATAGGGAAGGGGGAGAGGGCAGCTTCTTTATAAATTATGATTGTTTCAAAATATGACTTGTAAAATACCAAATTTGATTTCAAATATGAAGTCACAGATGACATGCTGGGTTCCGGGCAAATGAAGGAATCAAGGAGTGTGTTTCCCTGACAACCACCAATGCACCTGCAATGAGGATGGGGTGATAAGATCCTTTATCCAAATTTTTATAAAGTTTCCAGTTGGTATCCTTCATTGTGGAGTTTCTATTCTGAACCATGAACACTGTGCTCTCTTTGGCAGCATGTATATTAAAAATTGAAATGATAAAGAGATTACCATGGCCCCTGCCAAGGATGACATGCAAATTCATGAAAATTTTCATATTTAAAAGCAATTGTCTAGGAAGTAAAGGCCAACACAATACTGAGTAATGATGGAGAAAAATGGTTATTTCAAGAATGTTTCTTTATTGATGGCTGCATCTGTTTACAATGAGAGGGGCTTCAGGTGACTTTAAAATTCACTGCTTAGAAGTAGGTCAGCTCATCATTCTTGGATTTATTACCCTGGTAACCATCAAGTTCCCAATCATCTTCTTTAGAAATCCCTCTGAAGGCTTTTATGTGAAGGAAACAACCACGCCTTACACCCATATGAAAAAACATGAAAGAACAAAAGAAAGAAAGAAACAGAGAAACAAAGGAACAAAGAAATGAAGATAATTCACATGGATATTGATTGTACTACAGATCTTCTTTCCTGTTAAGACTTGATGTGCTAAGATCCTCTGAAACAACTCTTCTGGCTGAGGCCAGCATCGATGAACTGAACTCCCATCCCTTATATCAGGAAAAAGAGCAGCTAACAGTATGGCCAAAAATATATTTCCTAGATTTATTTTTAATACCTTTTAGAAAAAAATTTTATTCAATTTATTTGTATTTATGTACATCACATGTATGCAATGCCTGAAAACATAAGAAAAGGGTGTCAAATTCCCTAGAACTAGAGTCAGAAATAGTTGTGAGCTGCCATGTGGGTGCTGAGACCCAAACCCAGGTCCTCTGCAAGAAGAACCAGCACTTCTCCTACCCACTAATCTATTTCTCCACCTCAATTTACTTTATTGTTCTTTTCATTAAAATCTTGGCACAGATGACATTCCAGAGTTACATTTTCTTTTCATGATGCCTGGAGAGGAGCAGAGGGAAGCCTGTGTTTTTGGTGATTCTGTTTTCTGACTTCTAAGTTAGGAGAAAATTTGGCATATGGTTTGATAAGGGAAAAGAAACTCAGATTTGTTTCAGAGAATATGGACTCTATGGTCCCCATATCTCTGTTATGTTGTAATCTACTATGTGAATGTATACCAGGTTGCCTCCTTTGTAAAGTAAAAATAAAAAAAAGCCTAGATACCACCGGGGTAACATTCTCAATGGTTTCTGTTGTTGTTTGTTTGTTTGTTTGTTTGTTTTTTGTTGTTTTTTGTTGTTTTTTGTTTTTGTTTTTGTTTTTTGGCATGAACCTGGGACCTAAACCATCAGGAAAAGAACTACCACTTTGTTCTTTATCAGAACAATAAAAGTTCTGTGTTCTACAGAAGACATTGTGCTCTTAATCTTCAAGTGCTACTTACCAAAGTTTACCATTATTTATGGGTATATAAGTGCATGCACATATGTATACATATGCGTGTGTGTGTGTGTGTGGTCACATTGACTTCCTATTGTAGGTCTGAACAAAGCTTTCTGTATTCACAAGGTAAAACAAGGTAACTATCCTACCATCCAATGGATTGGACAGTCTTCTACTTGCAAATGTCTTAATTTAAGACCAGTGGTAGAAATGAAGCTATAGTTCGGGCAACAGGAAACAATCACATCAGTGCTTGAGGGAGGTTGGCATCTAACTTTAATGAAGTATTTTTGTCCAGGAACAACTTGAGATTTATACTCAATGGCTTCAAATTTTTTATATTTCTCATTGGTTTTCTCTTCAAGCTGTGCTCTGACCTTAGGAGGAGAAAGTAAGAGATGATGTTAAGGCTGTATTGACTCAGTTTACCTGAGTCATAAATCTGGGAACCTCATCCTGTTGAGAGTCCTCAGAGATGCTGATGAACCTGGGTGGGCTGCCCAAGCAGACAATTTCAGAACTTGGAAGACTGAGGCAGAAGAATGCTCTTCAAGACCAGCTTGGGTTATACAAAAAGATCCAGGTTCATTGAGGCTACAAAATAAATCCTGCCCCCAAAATCAAGATACACACACACAAAATACAAATAAAGCAAAAAACGATATAGTTATGATTTTCAATGAAAGGCCCCAATAGGTATGTCTATATTTGATCAGTAAATACAAAGTGAACAACACATAGTGGAAATTTTCTCTGGGCTCCCTTAGATCATTCTAGGGATACAATAACCAACTCTGGCCTGATACTGTATGGGTACATAATCTTGGAGTCTTCAGGAAGACTGAATTTTCTGACTTAACAAGGACCTTCAGTAGTGTCTGTGCTCTGGTGTTCTCTGGATGGAGGATTATTGCTGTGAGTGAGATAATACTTCCTAAAAGTACACAGTTTACTGTTGGTTTCTCTGCCTCCAAATACTTTAGTGAGAGTTGTCCCCTCAGGCTTTCTCCTGCAACACAGGACAGATGAGTGACATCTGGGAACTGAGCCACCACCCTGTACCTGTTCACCTGACAGTAAAGGGTTGGCAACAGTGCCTAATCTACTTTTTGATCTTAAACCTGTGATCATGAAACAGTGATTAACTAAGTTTTATTCTATAACATTCCCTAGATGTCTTAATTTCCTTTGCAATGTTAAATTTGGGGGAGTAGAGGCAGTTCCTTTCAGCCTTTATGTAGCTTCTACAGTTTGCAGCCAGATGCTGGACACCTAAGAGAAACTCAGGAAATGTCCCTATGAACTGGTTCTTGGCTATGCATGTCTCATGGTGATTTAAGCCTGAGGCCCTGGCTTCCATAGAGAAGGCAAGTTTGCTGCATTCCTTTGCTCTGATACCTGTAAAGCTCTCCAAGGTGCTAAGGTTGTGCAGTGAAAAAGGACAGGGTAGTATCTAATCAGAGTGCCTCTTAAGCATTTTGAGTCTTGGTTTCATCCTCCAAATATAGGATGGAATGCCTCCTTGCCTGCCTGGAGCTTTGAAGATCAACTGAGAGGTGGCAGAGATCATGGATTTTAGAATAGCAAAGCTTCTTCCCTGGTGAGATGACTTCCTGAAATATTTATGTCTCATTGTGCTTCTCTGGAACTACAAGAACACATTTCTAAATTAATTTCATTACTGAAGATGTGGTCTACAGATGTTGTAATTAGCAAGATAATCCCTTCGAGTAGCTTCCTAACTTAAAATTATATGATTAAACTACATTGTATGTATGTACAAAATCCTCAAAGAACTAATGAGAATATCATGATAAAAACTTACCCTAACCACAGAGATACATCTGGGTGCCAGGGACATTCAGGGCACAGCAGCTACCCAAACCCTGCCCCTCCGGAATTCCACTTCCCTTCCACCCCTGCCTGGTCCTTTGGGCTGGAGCAGACACAGAATCGGTCGGCTCCGGTCCTGTGGAGATACTGAATTCCGAGTCATCCTAGAAGAGCCACTGCACTCAGAGCAGCCGGTAAGAACTCCATCTCACTCCTTAAGCCCCAGAGATACATCTGGGAGCCAAGGACATTAAGGGCACAGCACCTACCCAAAACCTGCCCCTCTGGAATTCCACTTCCCTTCCGCCCCTGCCTGCTCCTTTGGGCTGGAGCAGACACAGAGTCGGTCTGCTCCTGTCCTGTGGAGAAACTGAATCCTGAGTCATCGAGGAGCCACTGCACTCAGAGCAGCTGAAACTGAATCCTGAGTCATCGAGGAGCCACTGCACTCAGAGCAGCCGAGGAACCACTGCACTCAGAGCAGAAGGATTTCCAGATCCAAGAGGTGGTCTGAGTCCCAGGAGTTATTCCACCCAGGAGATTAGGAGCATAAGACCACAGAGACATCTGGACTCCGAGGAGCTCTGCAATAAGCAAGATAACTGGAAATACAGACTCCAGTCTTACACAGTGAGGGCAGGTACCACTACAGTTAGCCAGATGGCGAAAGGCAAGCGCAAGAACATAAGCAACAGAAACCAAAGTTTCTTGGCATCATCAGTGCCCAGTTCTCCCAATATAGCAAGCCCTGAACACCCCATCACACCTGAAAAGCAGGATTCAGAATTAAAATCACTTCTCATGATGATGATAGAGGATTATAAGAAGGAATTAAGTAACTCCCTTAAAGAAATACAGGAGAGTACAAGTAAACAGATAGAAGCCCTTAAAGAGGAATCACAGAAATCCCTTAAAGAAATGCAAGAAAACACAAAGAAGGAATTAAACAAAAACTTTCAGGATCTGAATCTGGAAATAGAAACAATAAAGAAAGTTCAAAGGGAGACAACCATGGAGATAGAAAACCTAAGAAAGAGATCAGGAGTCACAGACGAAAGCATCACCAACCGAATACAAGAGATAGAAGAGAGAATCTCAAATGCAGAAGATACGGTGGAAAATATTGACACAGTTGTCAAAGAAAATGCAAAATGCAAAAAACTCCTAACTCAAAACATCCAGGAAATCCAGGACACAATGAGAAGACGAAATCTCAGGATAATAGGTATAGATGAGAATGAAGATTCCCAACTTAAAGGGCCAGTAAATATCTTCAACAAAATTATTGAGGAAAACTTCCCTAACCTAAAGAACAAGATGCCCATTAACATACAAGACTCCTACAGAACACCAAATAGACTAGACCAGAAAAGAAATACCTCCCGTCACATAATAATCAAAACATCAGATGCACAAAACAAAGAAAAAATACTAAAAGCAGTAAGGGAAAAAGGTCAAGTAACATATAAAGGCAGACCTATAAGAATTACACCAGACTTCTCACCAGAGACTATAAAAGCCAGAAGAGCCTGGACTGACATCATACAGACCCTAAGAGAACACAATTGCCAGCCCAGATTACTATACCCAGCAAAACTCTCAATCACTATAGATGGTGAAACCAAGATATTCCATGACAAAACCAAATTTGCACAATATCTTCCCACAAACCCAGCACTTCAAAGGATAACTGATGGAAAACGTCAACACAAGGAGGGAAACTACAACCTAGAAAAACCAAGGAAGTAATCTTCCAACAACCCCAAAAGAAGATAACTATACAAACATAACTTTACCTCTAATAACAAAAATAACGGGAAGCCACAATCATTTTTCCTTAATATCTCTTAACATCAATGGTCTCAATTCCCCAATAAAAAGACGCAGACTATCAGACTGGATACACAAACAAGACCCAGA